ATGGAAATTAGAATGTAGATGTGAGGATAATTTAAATGGCTTTCTGATTATAGTATACCTTACCCAGTTCATTCAGTAAACAAGTCACACAGAAGGAAGGCTTAGTACCTGAGAACATTGGCTTCTTTTCAGTCACTCCCTTTTTCAATAATCACAATGTGTTTTGGGGTGGGAAGAAGAAGCTTTTTCCCAGCTGCTACAGGAATGCCAATTCTATACAAATTCCAGCAGTCTCAATTATGGAATAGGAGATAGTTTAGAACAATGTTCAAATGCAGTCCTTTGTGACAGATGGAATTGAATTTGCATCTAGCCTCCTTTATCATTTGCTAGACATATCACTTAGAGTAGTAACAAATGTTCTGTCCCTGGTCCCTTATCTGTGGAATGGAAAGTGAAGGAAAATAATTTTCTTGGTGAGATAGTCAATTTTAGACACTATATTAGTTACATGTTTCATACTCTGACAAAAGCAACTTAAAGAAAAAAAGGGAGTATTTGGGGTTCATGATTCAAGATTACAGTCCCTCATGATGGAGAAGACATGGTAACAGGAGCTCTGGGCTGCTGGTTACATTGTGTCCACAGATAGAAAGAAGAGAGTGATGAATGTCCACACTCATCTAATTTTCTCCTTTATATTCAGTCCCAGAACCCATCCTATTTGATAATGTGGTTCACAGTTAAACTGGGACATCCCAATTTAACTAACCTAATCTAGATAATACCTCAGAGACATGTTCAGGGTCTTCTATCTTAAGTGATTGAAAATACAGTCAAGTTCATGGTATAAACCATCAGAGATGCCAGGAGGTGGTGGCGCATGCCTTTAATCCTAGCACTCAGGAGGCAGATGCAGGCGAATCTCTGTGAGTTCAAGGCCAGCCTGGTCTACAAAGTGAGTTCCAGGGAAGGTGCAAAGCTACACAGAGAAACCCTGTCTTGAAAAACCAAAAATAAATAAATAAGTCAATAAATATTAAAAAAAAAAACATCAGAGATATTGATAGCAAAATTAGAAAAATGAAAAAAAGTTTAAGACCACTGCAATTTCTTCCCACCTTTTAGATGTGTGTACAGTCACCTTCCACCTTTATTGGTCCAGGAGTAACAGAGATGGGAGGAAGGTTGCACCAGTGCAAGATGAGCTGAGAAGGCAATGTCTGAAATTCTAGTGAATGAGAGAGCGTGACCCAACTGGGAGGAAGTCGCTGCTGCTGCTGCTGCTTGCAGCTGTCCTGAAACATAGCATTGTGCCCAAAACAGGAAAACACCTTTGACCTACACACAAAATGCGGGGTGGGATGAGAAAAGCAATTTACCTTTTTATCCTCTTTTGTAACTTGTATCAACTACTGTTTTTTAAAAACAGTAGTATTAAATCACACCTGGGCAATTCCGATCTAATCAACTGAGGCTATAATGCTAATCGTTTTTCTAGTTCTAATTCTGTCATGGATTTTTTTTCTTTTTGGTGATGGAAAAAAACACAAATAAAGTATATGATACAAAAAAATGTAAAATTTAAGGTGACCCATCACAGCTTCTGTTCTGAATACTAATTCTAACTGTATATAAGTCCATTAAGTATAGACTTTGAGTCTAGTTAATTTGTGTGTGATGTTTTTATTTATTGTATTTTTATAGTAAATTTGAAAAATTTTTTAAAAGAATGTTGCTAAAAAGACAAGAATGTGGGGTGTAATTGACTGACTCCTCTGCATGGGTGCTTGGATGATCTTCTTCTGCTGCTGCCGCCGCCGCCGCTGCCGCCGCCGCCGCCGCTGCTGCTGTTGCTGCTCCTCCTCCTCCTGCTGCTGCTGCTGCTTCTGCTTCCCCCTCCTCCTCTTGCTCCTCCTCATCTTCTTCTCTTTCTTCTTCTTGTTCTTCTCTAAATATTCCATTAAATTCACCCTTCCACCAAAATCTTCCAGATTTGTACTGAACTGATGATACTGGGGCTCTGATACTACAGTTTCCAAAATGTAAGTGGTAGGTCATAAATAGAGAGAAGAGTAGAAAATAGTACATGCAAAAGAGAAGTGTACTTGGAATAGAAGAGCTACACTGTACTTGGGGCACACTCATAAGAAGGCCCTGAGTTTGAATTTCAGCACAAACTACCTACTTATCAAAATGGAAAAGTCTAAACAACCTCTGCAGATTTAAGGACGTTGAAGACTGTGGGTCTTTATGTTCCTTAACAAAGATGAGTTGAAAAATGACATTTATTCAAGTTCCTCTTCTTTAATGAACCAGGAAAAATAAAGAGCCCATCACCAGAAACGCTTATAAAGGACACAGCATTGTACCTGACAGAGAGCTCAAATGTATTAAGGAAATGATGGAAATAGAGAAAAAAAACCTGCAAAATTTCTCAACTAGCCATTGAAAAGAGGTCAGAAGACCAGGGACTATATCTACCATGAACTTGTTTGCAGTATTCTTATGGAACTGGCCCACTGAAGCTAAGGGTCAGAGTAGGCTTTGCAGATAGCAAATTTCTGAGGCCTCAGGATTATCTCATGGGTCTCTAGATCAAAATTTTGTCAAATGTAAATGAGGAGAGAAGTAAGTAAGACAGCCTATATTTCTTTACTCATCTCTGCTACCCAATTCCCTACAAAATTAACTTAAGGGAGAAAGTTTATTTTGGGTCACAGCTCAAAGAGTGAACTTCTTAATGTTTGGGAAGGCACAGTGGCAGAGGTATGAAGCAGCTGGTCACATAGCACCCACAGTCAGGAAGAAGAGAAAGATAAGTACATATGTTCACCTCGCTTTTCCCTTATTGACTTCAGAATCCCAGACCATGAAATGGTGCCACTCCATATTAAGGATAAGTCTTTCTTGCTACAGAAAATATTTCTTGAAACACTTACACAAACTCACCAAAATGTGTTTTTCTTTTTTTTTAAAGATTTATTTATTTATTGTACAGTATATAATCTGGCTGCATATACTCCTGCATGCACGAAGAGGGCACCAGATCTCATTACAGATGGTTGTGGGCCACCATGTGGTTGCTGGGAATTGAACTCAGGACCTCTGGAAGAGCTGCCAGTGCGCTTAACCGCTGAGCCATCTCTCCAGCCCCAAAATGTGTTTTTCATAATCATTTTAAATCCAGTAAACTTCACAACTATACCTTTTGATAATTTGATGCAAACATAGTCTTTTTATCTCAGAATGTAAAACATACAATCCATCCCTACAAAGTCACCTAATCTTTAATAAAAGTATCTTCTGAGACTTAAGGCAATTGTGAACCCCAGTAATATTAAAATCAAGTTATTTATTTCTACCACACAATGACACAGAGTAAACATCCCCACTCAAAGGGGAGATGTGGGTACCACATGAAAGGCTGATTCAAAAACCAAAATCCAGGAAAGCAAACACCAGTTCCTGAAGCTCCATGTACAGAGTCATCAGAGCTCCAAAAGGCTCAAGTTTTCCTGCTAATCTATCTCTGCCAACTGTAGCACTCACATTCTTTCTCTTGGGCCAATTCTACTATGCATTTGCAGCTTTCATCCTTAGATACCAATGGCCTTAGCATTTACAATGTACTGTAGTCTCTATTGCAAATTAGGCTTGACCCTCCCTGCTTCATTCAATGGCTTCTCAGGGCGTTCTTTCAGGAAACACTGCTACAAGTTGTCTGGTCTCAGTGACCTTTTTGAATCTTGGCTGAAGTCACTATGGCCTTCCTATTCTCACATCTTTCATTCCCGAGAAACCTCTATACTGTAGATAATATTGTCAAGTTCTGCTCCAAGCTTGAGAGGTATCCTTGTCCCCTTTTGTGATAGCTATCATACCCTGTGAACACTGGTAACTCAATCCAAGATGTCACTCTTCTCAGCAGCTGTCATTGAGAAGGGAACCTTCTCAACAGAGTTTTCAGTTCACCGTCTCTTTTGTTTGTTTTTGAGAAAGAACTTAAAGTTGGTTGGGTGGGTGAGGAAGAGGATCTGGAAGGTCTTGGGAGAGAGGAAGAATATGATCAACCAAAAAAAAAATCATTACATTCTTACAAACTGGAACCTTTAATGGGTGGGTATATTTTGTCCAAGTTCAAAGAAGGAGGTTCTCTCTCACGCTTGCTCTCTCTCCCTCTCCCTCTCTCTTTCTCTCCATCTATTTCTCTCCCCCTCCTTCTCTCTCTCCCTCCTTTCCTTCTATCTATCATCTCTTTCTCTCTATATATGTATATGTTTATATATATATATATATATATATATATATATATATGAATGATTCTTTTCTCACACTCTACATCCCCACCTTGTTTCCCCGCCCTCCACTCCGCCCCCATCATCTCTCTCTCCCAGATCAACTCCCCTCTGTTTCCTCTTCAGAAACGACCAGACCTCCAAAAGTCCACAACCAAATGGGACAAAACAAGGAGCAATAAAATAATGCTGATCTCCTTAAGAATCACGGCAGCTTTTTTCTGAGCACCTGTCTTGTCTGTAAGGTTGAACTTTCTCTTTTTCCTACCAAACAACACATTTTCATAGCTTTATGCTCTGTGTGTTACTTTCTGTCACTGTTGATGTGGGAAGGATAGTAAGCAAGAACCATCACAGTGTGAATGCTGTCCCGTCATGAGACTTCCTCCACCAACAAGCTAGCCCATTCCCTTTTCATTTATCCTCACTCAAGTTCTCAGAACAGGGATACAGCCATGCAGATACTTCATCAGAAAATAACATGAATGACTCTTATGTAGCCCAGTTCTTACAGAGTCCTTGTTTCCTTCTGAAACTGTTTTTCTCAACATTCTGGTCCTCCAAACTCACACTTGAGTGGCCCACTGAGCTCTGCTTACAGCATTCTAGGGCTTCTCTAATTCTCTAATTCCTCCTGGCAACCAGTTTCAAACCTATAACAACCACACGGCCCAGTTGCTCCCAGCAACAGTCCCACTCCTTGGCACCAATTTTCTGTATTAGTTTCTTTTTTCATCACTGTGATAAAGCATCTAACAACAGTAACAAGGAAGAAAAGGTTTATTTTGAGATATAGTTCATCATGACAGGGACAGCATGTCAGTAGAAGTGTCAAACAAGTCATCATATTGCATGCACAATCAGGAAGCAGAAAGGATGAATGTTGGTAGTCAACACACTGTCCACTTTTATTTAGTCGAAGACCTTAGCCTATAAGACAGTATTGTCTAACATTCCAGGTGGGCATTTCTCCATCAGTTAAACTTTTCTGAAAATATCCCTACAGACAATCTCAGGAATGTTTTTCAGTGGCGATTCTAAATCCAGCCTAGTTGACAATGAAGATTAATCATCACATAGTGCATAGCCTTTTGACATATTAGTGAATTTTACAGCTTTATGTGTGTCAGTGTTTATCAACAATAAGAATATAAATATTTTGGAGCAGATAATTATTTGTTCCTGTAGTTGTCCTGTACATTGTAGAACAGTGGGTAGCATTTCTTGTCTTTACACCTCCCAACAGTGACAAATGTCCAGTTGAAAAGCACTGTTTTCCTATGGCAGAAAAAAATATGTTAGAAGAAAATACAATAACAGTTACTGATTTCTATGATGAGGCATAGAAGAAGCTTCTAGAGCAGCTGGATGCAGAGGATAAAATGATACCATGTGGACACTCCCCTCAGATTTTATGAATCCTATAGTATGAACCCCATTCTCATTCATACTTTCTCAGTAAGATTAATGCCAAGATTCTAATCATATATCTTTCATCTCTAAGATATGTCCTCTATTATTCAGTGCTACACTTTTAAGTCTGACACTCATTGGTTTTATTTGACTCTCAGATCCAATTTATGATGAACTTGGATAAGAATTAAGCTGACCCCTCAGAGGAAATAATATTACATAAATTATGTATTAAAATTAATAGAGATGATTTTTTCCTAAAGCCCATTTGGAAGTAGTACTGCCAAAAATTTTAGATGTACCCATAAGATGTAGATGTAGCAAAAATTAGCATTGACCTGTAAAGACTATCTTTCCATCATGATGCATTAGGATTATTCCTCTTTCATAGAAACAAGCAGCCAAAGCTGACTTCCTTAGCTTCATCAAAATCCCAAGACCTCTCATTAAGAAATATTAGTCACAAAACCTAGGAGAATCAATAATGCTGAGAAATTGAAACAGCACATAATTCATCCTCTTGGAAACTTTTCAAAAATATCACCTCACTGATGCAGAGGAGGATTTCTTTGCCTACTATAAATTAGAGGGGGGAAAAAAAGAAGCAAAAAAGACAGAGGGAAAAATCTGAGCTGCCTGACAATTACCCTGTGTGCATCACTCATATTGCAATCACACCCACACCCCTGCGCCAGCACTCCGGCAAACACAGGCAAGCAAGCTCATAGTACCCTCACCCACTATCACACACACCTACCACCTCAGAGCCAGCCCACCAGGCTGACAATCACACTGGCAACTAAGCACCACCAAAGCCTTCTTCCCCACACCCATCATTTCCTAGGTTACCAGCTCCTTAACACCAAAAGGCCTACAGAAGTTGGGAGAAAATGTCCCAGAGACACACAGCAAACCCCAGCTGCACAGAAAATGTGACTTCTTAGGTGAAAAAAAAATCTTTCACAGTCTTTCAAAGAAGATGGGCTGCAGGTAAGATCTTGTCTCCAATAATTCATTTCCAGTCTCTTTTCCCCAAAAATTAGCAAGATTTCAATATATAATTTGAGAACACTAAGTTTGAGCCGTGTTTGCTATTGCCTGAACTAACAGACAAACAATGCAGCTATCACAGGGAGAGATGAGCAGTATATGAGGAGGAGGAGGAGAGTGGAGTGGGTGCCAGGAATTCCAAAGAGCAGTCCTCCCCCAGAGAGCTGGGTGCCAGGCTCTGTGGGATGGGCAGGCGACATAAATAGCCTTCTCCTGGATCCCTGTGGGGCCAGTGGTGGGTGGGCAGCTGGATTTCTCTGTGACCCAGTTAGAGGAAAGCTTTCTGAGGGCTGTAGCTGGCCTCATGTACAATGAGAGTAATAATAACTGACAATATGATTTTCCCACTATAAAATGATGACAGCGATATCTAATTTATCCCTGAGAATGGTGTGGTGAGCATTAAATTAAACACTATGTACAGAATACATTGTTTGGTATGTGGCTCATAGTAAAAGTTCAGCAAATATTAGCTCATAATAAGAGTTTGATTGAATGAAGAAACAAGTGCAGACCTGCATTGCACACCTAATAAGGCACTTACCTGTCTAGGTTAAACTACAGGGTCTTCTCCAGACTTTGAATCCCCTACTTTTGCTGTTTCACAGTGTTCAAATAGAGTTCATCTTATAACCTAAATGAACTCCTCTTAGTTCTGTGTCTAATGATGAATTTCAGATAGCCAGTTGCAGCCATTGACCTTTGGACTTGTTCTTAAAACAGAATTGCTCTCAGTTTCTCGAGGTCCTTTCTTCACTCAGCTTGTGCAGTATGGAGATGGTTAGAGTAGGTGTTACCTTTATTTTCCTAATAAGAGAATGGGGGAGAAAGAGAAGAGATGATTTACGTGTCTGTAACTAAACTAGTAATAGGCAGAAGTTTATTTTTGGATTTGGGATTCTTAAGAGGAACCTCACTTACTTGTCACAGAGTATGTGTGTGTATACACACACACACACACACACACACACACACACAAAATCCATGATAGTAAAAGCAGCTGCTGTTTGTTGGGTGTCTATCAAGTTGTGAGTCCTTTGGATACTTCCTAAGACAAGAAAAGCTGAATTCGGAGGATGGATCCTCAGCAGTTCTGTCAGCCAACCCTTACACGATTTCTACAATCATTTTGGTGCCTGTCTTTGCGAATATCAGTTTTCCAAAAGCTGCATGCTTTCTCACAAAACAACGTTTCATTTAATCCACACAGGCATCATCCTATGCACTATGTAAAAGATTTAATTTCTGGCTAGTCTTTCAGCACTCTTCCCCTGCCTCCTCCAATCTCCTCCCAGTCTTAAAAAAAGGCTCCCTGCACCTCACAGCCAGCTGGGTGAGTCATGGGGGAGGAGGCAAGCTTTTCTCATCTCTCCCCAAAACAAGGACCTGTTTTATTTTGACTTTGCTTTCCCATATACCATAGCAGAACAGAGAGAGTGTCCTGGGAAGATCACAGCAACCAGAATATCTGCCCCTATCCATGCATCCAGCAGGTTCTTAACCTTGCAGGGACAGTTCTCCTCCTCCTCTCAAGATAACATTATACATGGGGGTACATTGGAAATTATACTACCATTCGAGAGTTATTCTTCTCCATGGGAACACTGCTCATTAAATGGTCTCGTTTGATATTAATGTGAATATCAAAATGTGGGTTTCTTTGATGAGTGCCCTCACATATGTGTGATTTCTAAAGCAAATATTGAAAACACTAAAAAAATGATTGGAAACCAATTTGTTATATACTTTAACTGTACAAAGCTGGTAAGAAAGATTTATCCTTAGAGTGTCATATTTGACAAGATAAGGGAAATGCAGAGAGATATTTCAAAGACATACAAATGATGCTAAGGTCTCATGTTGCTCATCTGACAGATACAAAATGAGTCATATTTATCAAAGATTTTTATAAGAGAAAGGAGGGTGGATTTAGATCCTTACAGCAGAGTCAAGCAGTGAAAACATATTATTTGCTGAAATGCTATTTCACAAATTGGAGACATAGTACTCAGCTTGAATGGCATGCATTAGACTCCTGCCTGGCTCAAATTTTCTGACCAGAGTTTATAAACAAGAATTTTTTTCAATGGTCAAAACAATATAATTTAAAAATCATTTTGGCAGCGTCTTACAATTTATTTTATTTGACTCACAACTTAGACTGACAGTCTCTCCCACCTTTAAATAAATAACAAATCAGTGGTCATTGTTTATTTTCCTTATTTGAAAAAAAAATGTTACTCCAGTTAGGAATGATATAAGCTCTTGAAATTAGACACTTGTGGTTCGAGTTCTCTGAAGAACTACCCAGGTGACTATAGCAAGCATCTTTCACCTCTGGGCTACAAATATTTCACTAGAAGGAAAAGCTTATTGACTAGATTAGATCTTGTTACAGAAGGTTCCCTGTGCAAACTGAAAGTCAATGCCTTGAGTAACAGGAAGCAATAACAACTCAAATTGAACAACAGTTTTACCAATTAACTCCATCCATTTATGGAGGGGTCATTCATTTGTTACATGCTTATCAAGAGTATACAATGAGAAATTATTTGGGGCTTAAAAAGTATATAAAGTACATGTCTAAATGTTCCATGTTTCTGGATTTTACACTCTATTGGGAGGAACAGAAAAATAAAGGCCCAATAAGAAACTTCAAAGTGTAAATTCACCTATGAAAATAAAACAGTTCTCTATTGAGAGGAGTACAGGAAAAAAAATATAAAAAGCACAATCCACAGCATATGTAAGACCAAGATATTCCCTCCAAAAGCTGTTGCGTCACATCCATGAAATATGGTGTCTTAATTAGGGTTTCTATTGCTACAAGGAAACACCAAGACCAAAAAGCTACTTGGGGAGAAAGGCTTTATTTGGCTTATACGTCCAAAAATAAAAATAAAAAATCTGTCAAACTCTGATAAGAACTTGAGTTTGATTGAGCTCCATTGGTTAAAGCTCCTGTTGCTGGCCCTTTACAGGCTACAGGCTCTCCCCAAGCAACCTCTTTCCTTCTCACCATGTGAGCTCATGCACAGATGACTGGTTCTGACCCTCGTCTTTCAACCAACCCCTGTCTCCCTGATCGCCTACTCACCCCCTTACTCTGTCACCTCCACTCCCTCCTATGGACTTTACTGACCACTCCCTTTTTGTTGTTTGAATCTTAGATGGTCTTTTAATAAAAAAAAAAAAATCCCAGAGCCAGATATCAGGATGAAAACTGAAAGATCAGAGAAGCAAAACAGCCAGCCACTAGTTTGTTTGTTTGTTTGTTTGTTTCTTTGGGTTTTTGTTGTTGTTGTTGTTTGTTTGTTTGTTTGTTTGTTTGTTTGTGGTTTTTGAGACAGGGTTTCTCTGTGTTGCTTTGTGCCTTTCCTAGATATTGCTCTGTAGACCAGGCCTGCCTCTGCCTCCCAAGTGCTAGGATTAAAGGCGTGCACCACTACTACTACTACTACTACTACTACTACTACTACTACTACCACCACCGCCGCCGCCGCCGCCGCCACCACCACCACCACCACCACCACCCAGCAACTAGTTCTTACCTCTATGAAATCCTCAGTCTAAAGAGATTGAGTGCCTATTTCCTCACGCCTTATATACCTTTCTCTGTCCAGCCATCATTTCCAGGGATTAAACACATGTGTGCTTCCCAGTACTGGGATTAAAGGTGTGTGTCACCACTGCCTGGCTCTGTTTTCAGTGTGGCCTTGAACTCACATAGATCCAGACTTTCTGGATCTCTGCCTCCTGGGTGATAGGATTAAGGGTGCGTGCCACCACTGCCAGGCCTAACATCAACTGAAGTCTCCAGGAAGAAGATGGGGCCCCACAACAACAATTCCACATGGACAATAATAATATCACTAAACTGACAAATATCTACAAATCGGCTTTGGACTACAAAGTGCTCAGAGCAATTTTGAGATGACTAGCTGAGATGATCCAGTCTCAAAGACTACTTGAATAAAGACGTGAGATAAACCCTGAACTTTGGCATTATACACAGACTGGATAATGAAGGATATAGTTACCTTTCCTAGAATTTGACAATTAACCTAAAATTTTTCTTTTCAGAATAAAGATACCTTCGCCGATACCCAGCAGGAAGCAATTTTAAGAATACGACATCCGTATTTCCAAAGAGATGGTGTGGGATGGGTGGCTTTTTGGTCTTTTAATGGGTTTTGGGTCTGGGATAGTTTTCTTTGTTTAGGAGGGTTGGTTACAAGTTGTTGTCAAGGGTTAGGAAAAGGGCTAAACAAAAGAGGTTAGATTTAAGGTTCTTGTTTTAAAAAAGAAAGAGAGAAAGAAAGGAAGGAAGGAAGGAAGAAGGAAGGAAGGAAGAAAGAAAGAAAGAAAGAGAGAGAGAGAAAAGAAAAGAAAAAGGCAATTACTAGTTTTAAATACTTTACATTAGATTGGATTGTACAAATTATATATATTGAAATTGATATTGTTAGAAAATGCTATATGTGTATTTTAATTGTATTTATACCATTCATTTAACAATGTAATGCAATTTTCTGATCCTTGAATATTAATATTACCAACTCTTAGAATATAAAGAAATGAAAGTTAGTAGTTAGACATTATAATAGAACTTGTAGTAATATTAGTATGTCTTCAAAATTGAGCAGTTATTTTAGATAGACAGGTCATCTTCAAAGCCTTCAGAGATCTACAGAATATGGCATTTAAAATGTTTTAATAACTTAGAAAATTTTTTCTTTTTTGTTATGACTATGAGACATGTCAGCTCCTGGCAGTACCAATCTACTTCAGAGAAAATATGGGCATTGAAGAAACTGCATATGGAGTTAACTTTCATTGTGGCAAAAGTTAGCCACTGGACAACAAAGTATCCTCAATCAACTGCTGACAACAGGACAAAATGGACAGACAGGACATGAAACAAAGGACTACTGATTCTTGCCAAAACAAGTGTGGTTATGGCTTTATCAAAAGGCATCTTCTGAGGCCAGGACAATATGGCCGCATCCCTGAAGTGGCCTTCGCAATCCGGAAAAGGTACAGTGCCCTTTTCTTCAAAGGCAGATGAACAGACAGTGGGCCGATGTCTTCTGATGTGCAGTGGAACAATACCTGAAACAGTTATTCTTGAAGAGTAATTAAACTTACACTTCTCAGTAGTAGACTGGTATTTAATAGAAGTATATGGAGAAGAACAGTATGCTGAGATGAAGCCACACACACACATAGCCAAGAAGAATGGATAGCTGAATTAAAAAAAAAAATCAACAATTTTCAGAATTAAAAATCCTGAATCATGACAGGACACTAGTGGAATTCAGGTGTTTCTGGTACATGGACTGCTCTCACCCAATGTGAGGTCAAACTATTGACCTTGTGTACATCCTACTTCACAAATAAGTCTGTCAGATACGCTAAGCCTATAGGCTGAAGATGATGCCCCAACACTGCGGAGAAACTTCAGGGACTGTCCAGGCGGCTGGCTGTTTCTGTCAACTCACATTTATTTTTGGAAGCTGCTTGCATGCACTTTCTGTTTTTATATTTTATTGGGTAATATTATTTCCTTCTTGGGTCTCTGAGGGAGTTGAAGATTAGTTAGTTATAGTTGAAAATTAGGATAGAAAGTGAATTAGGTACATTTTGGATTTACCAAAATAGGATAGATAATGGAATTATTTTCTCTGAATTTGTCAAATACAAATAGACTAGACATTGTTTAGGTATTTATTACTTGTATATATGGTATATAGTTATTATACTTTTGTATATAGTTTTTCTTATGTTAGTTATAACCTTTTTCCTTTTTTCTTTTTATTAAAATAGAAAAGGGAAAATATGGTGATATTTTATTTCTACTGAAATGTGATTTTATTTGTATGTTAATAAATAAAGTTGCCTGGGGGTCAGAGCTAATAGCAAGCCTTAGCAGAAGCTGGACGGTGGTGGTACATGCCTTTAATCCCAGCTCTTGGGAGGCAGAACTAAGCGGATCTCTGTGTGTTCAAGGATATAGCCAGCATGGAGATACATGCCTTTAATCTTAATACCAACCATAGAAGACCAGGAGGTCTGTAGAGATAGGCAGTGACGAGGCGGTCATGTGGTTGGGTTTACAACCAATGAGAAGACAAACAGAAAGTCTATATAAAGACAAACACACAGGAAGTAGCTTTCTTGGCTGAAGAGGATAGCTGCAACAGTGAAGGGTAAGGCTCTTAGCTCTGACCTCTTGGGCTTTCATCTTTGCATTGGTTCTGTGTTTCTTATTGAATAAGATGGTTACTTCTACACTGACCTCTATGTCTAATCCAGTGGCTCCTCTGTCCTCCAATCCTCAGGAAAGTTTATTAGGGTACACAGTATATCACCACACTCCATACCCCAGCCATGTGCCAACTCCTATCCATCCCCAATCCACATTGGGGATCTGGTTCTTCTCTCCCCTCTGGACAAACATCCCTCATCCCTTTTCTCTAAATGGCAGTGCCCCCTCAAGGTAATTATTCTAACCCCCACAGTCCCTAAGCTTGAAGGTGCCTCTCATTGAATTCATCTATCCCACCTCAAGCTCTTTACTTTCCACCTCAAGATAACTTCCCTTCCTACATATTAACCCCATTAGGACCCTGCTCCCTTAGGTTTCAGAGGACATTAATATCAACCTCCTTGTCCAGGTTCCACAAGAGAGGCTTCACCTCCTTTCACCTTTCAGCTTCTGTCCAGAACAAGTCTTACATATGGAAATTTGAGGCTCAAGAAACTACCACGTTTAGCAAACAGTCCTCAAAAAAAGGTTGGGAAATTGTTCCATGGAAGGCTGTCAGGAGCCAATTGAAATCCCCATCTCCTCCTATCCACTCCTTCTTCTATAATTCATGATCTTTTCACCTACTTCATCTATGACCAGACAAAAGGCTATTGTAAAGAATGGCCAGATATATAAGGAGGCTGCTCATATTGTTCTTGCCAATACTTTGTGCCATTTGCACATCCTCACTTGAGTCCATCTTTTATGGATGAAATGTAGCCCTTAACCTCTATATCAGGGACCCATGGGATCCCAGGTAGGAAATAGGTGTTGCCTATAAGTTCTACCATTTCTTCAACCCCTGGAACCCAGTGAACATGATTAAATTCCAAATAAAATACATCCCAATTACTCAGACTATGGAGATATGAGAGCTAGAGGTGATTGTATACTCCTCCAAGGTCATAACATCTTTAACATCCCCTCTCATAAATAATACAAACCTTTTGTTTCCTCCTATTTCAAACTCTGACCTTGGCTGACCAGGTCCTTAACATCACCAAACCTGGTCACTTTGGGGATTGCTGGCTATGTGTTCCTCCTGAGACTAGCTCACAACTGCCCTTTATAGCCTCTCCCATAACCTCATCAAATAACCTTACTTTGCCATCCACAACTGCCCAGAGTCTGGTATTGCTATAACTCCCTACCTTTTTCTTACCACCCTCTTTGGCATGGAAAACTGCTTTAAAGCATCTGGGACACATTTTGAGGGGGCATTAAATTTCATAGACTGCAATAAGACACTAACCCTCAACATCCCACCTCAGCCCCAGTGCCCTACCATCCACAATGCCTCAATTTTTTGTAGTCCTCAAAGTCTACCATCACCTACCTGCCTGTTGGTCAAGAATTTACAAGCGAGTATTTCTCTTCTTCAGGTTAGGTGTGATACATGGAGAAGAGTCTCCACCCATTCTGGTTGTAGACCCAAGAGCTGCCTGAGATAATCAAAGGTTGGTTCAAATCCTGTTCCCTCTGGCTGATGCAGGAATAACTGCAGATGTCACCACTGAGACAGTAGGTATCACCTCTCTAACCTTGTATCACCAGTTTTCTTCCTAGTTCATCCAGGACCCCCAACAGGTGGTCCAAACCATATTCACCATTTGAGGACAAATTTACTCCTTGGCAGCAGTGGTACTTCAAAACCAATGGGGATTAGATCTTCTTACAGCTTTGCCTCTTCCTCCAAGAAGAATGATGCTTCTAGGTCAAATAATTGGGTATAGTAAAAAACAAAATCCAACAACTTCAAACAGACCTCCAAAAACATAAGGTACAACTCCATGCCTCCAGCTCATATGCCTTTGAGATTCCCATGTGGAACTGGAGACTGCTTTTCCTGACCCCTCTCCTTCTCATTTCCCTGATTTTACTAATTGTGCTCTGCTTTATCAATTTCTTATCTCTGAAGACAAAAATCTCTAATTAAACAATCAGTTATTGTCACAAGATTACCAATCCCTAGCCATAGAGACAGATACTCATGACTATTGACAATGCTCTGATGGTGAGGATCAACCGTGCCCAGAATATGTCCACTCCCCCAGACAACAGGAAGCAGCCTAAAGAGCACGGTGCCTCCATTCCTGCCTCTTCAATCAACCCTTCATATTTCCTCACCTTTTATAATAAATAAGAGGGAGGAATGTTGGTAAACCAAGAACCACCCACAGGTACTCAGTATTAGCAGTCACATTATTACCAGCCACCAAACGGGACATATTTTCACCATCAACACAGGTCACATATTGTCCTTATGTGCATATGCAATATCCTTTATAAAGCCTGTGTCTTCATGGCCTTGATCTCTTTCCATTCTATCCTAGAGACAGCCTTTTTATTTTTGTATGACACTGCCCTACCCCAATAAATCTCCCGTGTGAGTTCTGTTGCATGGTGTGACTTTGTGGCTTTCATTCCTTGGCTCTCTGAACATCACACCCAAAAAAAAATCCAATCAACTAAACAAGCACACAAACAAAACTTTACAATGGGAACAGAAGAAAGCAAAGTAGGAGGAAGGAAATGCTGGGGGTAAATGGGATAGCAGGAAAGGGGCACTAGGGAGATAAAGAGGAACAGGGGATGAGGATAATAAAATGAAATATGTATGAAAATCCCATACAGAAAGGTTACTTTGTAAATTATTTTATAAATTAAAATTTATGAAAAAGTAGTCATAAGAGTTTTTATCCTCTCTCTATTATCATACGAGAAACACACAAAAATGGTCATGTCCAAAGAAGGAAGTGAGCCTCACTAAACTCTGTACCTGACAGCCAAGGTATTGTGGATGTGCTAACCCTGAGAAGTAGGGAAACTGAATTTCTATTGTTTAAGTCACCCCAGCCTATAATAAAGACAGTTGGGTCAGTAGACAAAATAGCTTCATAATTAAACAAATTGATATTTTCCAGTTACTCAAGTATGGTGATATAAAGTTCATATATACAAAATATATTAGTAAAATTCCTGTTTAAAGGGGTGGATATACTTAAATGTAACAAGGCACAGTCATTGCTAGGTTATTAGAATTCAAATTAATATTCATCCTTAAGAAACTACCACTCTATAAGTTGAGGTGTAACCCTAAAAGAGACTATCCATAATCATCTATACAGAACATTAACCCCCCTCTTTTTTTCCAGCTGTGCTTCTATGTGATTACAGATTTTTTTCATGGGAATAACCCAAAAGAGTGGATCAGAGCAACTTAAAGCAAATAAGACAGCTCATCTCCAATAAGGCTAACTCTTTAAGTGAATAGCAAAAATGTTAGATATTATCACTCTTCTGCATATATTTTTCACTTTGGAAAGCTATCTTTTTAAAACAAAATAAATTTTTCATATAAACACATGATGAGTTTATTATCACATAAATTAATGAGTATGTTTCTTGGACCTGGAGAGATGGCTCAGTAGTTCAAACACTTGCTGCTGTTGTAGAGGACTGGTTTCTATCACTCACACTGGGGCAGTTTGCAACCTGTAGTGACAGTTCCAGGGTACCTAATGCCCTCTTGGTCTCCTCAAGCACTCACATTCATGTGAACATTCCCATACACAGACAGAGATACACATGATTAAAAATAAAATAAAGCTTTGAAAATAATGAATAAATAAGTATATTTTTATTTGGAGCTTTAATTTATAATGTAATAAATAAGGTACATACCTTTTAGAAGATCTTAGAAGTCCCAATAATTTTAAAGTATATAAGGCAGTCTTAAGAATAAAACTAAATCAAGAATTGATCATGTGATCCAGGGATTTGCAAGTGTTTTCTGTAGCACAAAATCTAATTTGGTCTTTTAATTAAAAAAACAAAAACAAAAACAAACCCAGAACCAGATATTGGGGTAAATGCTGAAAGATCAGAGAGACAAAGGAACAAGTCACTGCCATGTCTTACCTCTAGGATCCTTCAGCATGAAAAAGCTTCATTTCCTGTCCCTTTATACTTTATATACCTTTCTTTGCCCAGCCATCACTTCCTTCTTAGTGCTGGTATTAAAGGCATGTGTGCTTCCCAAGCAAAGCATGAGATCTCAAGTGCTGGGATTAAAGATGTGTGACACCACTGCCTGGCATCTATGTTTAATCTAGTGGCTTGTTCTGTTCTCTGATCTTTGGGCAAATTTTATTAGGTTATACAATATATCACCACAGTTTTCTATATGGAATTAGGGAGTAAGTATGTTAGGCTAAACTGGCCATAAAATAAGTACCATGAGTACTTAACACTTCCTTATAAAAAGAAGTTATTAACTACGATGGTATTTTATTTGTGCTGAAATGTGATTTTATTTGTATGTTAATAAATAAAGTTGCCTGGGGGTCAGAGCTAGGAACAAGCCATTTAGCAGAAGTCTGGCAGTGGTAGCACACACCCTTAATCCAATCACATGGCAGGCAGAGTCTGTGTTCAAGGACATAGCCAGTTTGGAGACACACTCCTTTAATCACAATACCAACCATAGAGACCTGGAGGTCTGTTTAGACAGACAATGACGAGGAGGTCATGTGGTCAGGTTTACAACCAATGAGTAGGCAGAACAGAAAGTCAATAAAAATACAGACCCACAGGAAGTAGGTCTCTTTCTCAGGGGAAGGACAACAGCAACAGTGGGGGTAAGAAGACAGTCTTAGCTCTTGGCTGCTGCTCGATCTCTGGGCTTTTAACTCTGCATTTGGTTCTGTGTTTCTTATTTAATAAGACTGTTCAGAATTACATCTACAATTAGCAATGTGTAAATGAATGTACATTTAGTATTCTAATAAAACTGTATTTCAACAGCCTGTAGTTTATCCATCTTCAAACTTAGCAAAACCAGAAATGCAATAATTTAGCAGACCATATAAACAATTTACCCCACACTGGAAGGCATTTGCAAAAATCAGAGAGGAAAAAAAGAGAGCAAAGGCAAAGGCATAGTCTATGCTTTTGACTGCTAGGTGAGCTCTGGGTTTCAGAAATCAATGTGCAATGATTCCCCACTAGCAAACAAGTTTAAATGAAGAGTCTTTTTCTCCAACTGAGAAATCAAAATAGAAGATCTGAATTCCTTATAATGAGTCAAAATTGAATCTTCCTTCTTCAACCTTAGTATAATATTAGGAGAATATCCTTTGTGTTGAAAATGTGGATTAAAAAAAAGTAGAGATCAAGAAAGAAAAGCATGAAGCAGTGTCTGAGAAATATCATGACCACAGTTAATTCTTGAAGGGACTTGCAGCACAAATTCATAATGCCAAGTTGAAAAAGAAAAGACACTATAACTCTAACCCACACACATGCATACATACAAATAAATAAATAAAATATTGGGATACACAGATGCTCCAGCAGTTAAAAGGATGTACTGCTCTTGCAGAGCACCCGAATTCAAGCCTAGCACCCACATCACACAGCTCACATAGAGTCCAGATCCAGGGGATCTAACATCCTCTGGCCACCACAAGCATCTGCACTCACATGCACCTACACTCACATGTACATACTCAGACGTAGACATGCACACATACACGTAAATAAAAAGAAAAGGAAACATAACAAATACCCCAAATTGAGGTTAAATCCTCATGAGCTAGTTATAACTCCAATCTCCTCACTAACTGTAAGGAAAATCTAGCAAGGCTGGTGTAGAGAACTAAATACCAGCTAGAGCTTTAAAATCATCTTCAAATGAGAGTGCTACTTCTTTTTCTAATTTTCTTGCCTGGCATTGTTTAGAAAGAAGGTAACCACTATCTTAAAATATAACCAGGGTAAGTGAGAACTGAATCCAGGATGGTGTCATACAAGAACATGTCATACTGGAATGTGAGAAGCAATTCTTTGCATCTCTTCCTAGCTCCAGATTCAGACAGATCATCTTAGTGTCTTGAAACTGCTCAAAGTGAGAGTACTTATAGCTGAGAAAGTGACAAGCACTGTGGACCAGCTCTTTTCCCACTAGAGAACCAACTGCACAGCATATTGTATCTTCCACTCTGGCACAAAAGGTTTCACTAGTCACATAATCAATGTCATAACTATTCAACACTGCCATTGTAAAAAATAGATATTAGCAATGTGTAAATGAATGGGTATTTCTGTGTTGCAATAAAATCCTTCTAACAGCCAGTGTTTCGTCCATCGTTGTTCTAAGCAAAAACAGTAATCAAAGAATTTGAATCGCATAAAAGTCAGATAATTGAGGGCACAGATGGAACAGAGCAGGCAGTAGATAAATGCTGAAAAATATTTTATACCA